TATTGTTTTCAACTACCATATTTTAAATTCGATGCAAGAAAAAAATAATTGCTCCAAACCTAACCGAATAAAAGCATGAACCGATAAGTTGTGTACTCATGTTTACAGAAGAGATCATTAGAAATTAAAATGAGGCTAACAAATGAGAAAGAGAATAATAAGTCAGCTTGAAATAACAAACCTGCCAGCTAAAATGCGGTCCATATCTTGTAGTTCTGCTTCAAGAAAACGACAACCACGCATGAACTTTTCACTTTGATATGAATTATTCGATCCTGATGTGAAACAGAAGTGTGCAAATATAAGCAAAATCTTCAAGAGCCACAACATGAAAAATACTAAAGAGTTATTGCCATAATTTGCACAAATGAGAATACCTGCACGTAACAAAAAAGGGGACAAACCAATTTTGTCTCCTGTGCTATCATCACGAAAATGAAGACCAACTAAAAGACTGTAATCCATGATTCTCTCTGCCTCTAAAAACCCACAGTCACGATCAATTTGTCTGAATAAGATTCAATAAATCACGTAAGTGCCAATATCACATAGAAAAAAAGCTAGAGGCGAAAAAGACTGTGTTTTCCAAAATACTAACTTCATCAACTCTCGATACCAATTGCTTTGCAGCCGAAAAACGAAGTTGAGGTCAAGATCCTTGAGAGTCGTGGTTTCATCAATTTCACCATTAGGCTTGTCTGTTGTGCGCCCATGAGAGGATCCTTTTAAATCGAACCTTCTATGAATTCGATACTCTGAGCAGAACATATTCCCCATCACAATGAACCGAGTCTAATTTGGAAAAGTAATGTGATAATGATGATCAGTTCGGTGAATAAAGACTAAGTTAATAATTTTGAAAAATGATAGCAACAACTTACTTTGACACCTCCAACTGGTTTAACACAATGCACGCCGTAGAATTTCGTTACGAGAGAATTTTCATAGCGACATACATGCTGGTAATAACTTGGAAGCATTTTAGTGAGCACCTGAACAAGACAAATGAAAATATTCAAATTAGCAGCTGAATTTTGACCAGGACATGGTCCAAAACCAACACAAACACCTTTTTACATTGAATAATAAGTTTTTAGGTGCTAAGCATATATTTTAATCCCAGCTGATTGTGCTCTTTTCATGATTCTATGTAACATAATGTTCTCTTTGTTCATTTTTAATTAGTTTTTCAACTATGATAAGTTAAACCGGTCGGCAACAAACCTTGACTTCTGATTTCTTCACTGTTTTGATCATGAACCTGTCATCTTGTGTCAAGTAAAAGAGGCTTCCACTCTTCCCTGGAGACGAAAGCTCTCGCAGGGCATAATCACCACAAATAGCTAACATATAATCCGCGGGATCTACTTGAAATAGCTCCCTCAAATGTCTAAATTCACCAATAAATAAAATTCATCACTTTACAATGCAAAAAACAAGAAGATAATCATAACTTAAAAGTGTTTCAAAAGTTAACTATGCTCAACAAAAGGGACACCTGCTAATCATATGCCATAAACAATAAAGATGAAACAGAGATAATTTACCTAAAAACCACAGGGCAATAATCTTTCCACCAAAAGTCCATTGATTGATGAGGAGGTGTGAGTTTCGATCCCTCGGGCGCGAACCTAGTCCAGAACTTCTCCTTAGGGTCAAAATCACTCGGCTTAAGGTCACGTAAGACCGAAGAATCTTTCCCCACAGAATACCTGAAGAAATAATCAATACAAATCAACTCAACAAAAAAAAAAATTAAAGAAAAAGATATAAAAAATAAAACCTTCTCAAATAAACAAAGCACTGCAAGCAAAACATCTGAATCAACCCCAATTTCTTCTCACCTAATACCCAATTGGAGATTGAGCATCAGATCATAATTCTTATGCCCTTTTGCTATAGTCTGCCCTGGCTTCTTCACTTCCCCACTTACATAACAGGGGTTTCTCCTAAACTGTCTTAGCCCATCTCTGTACCACACAGAGGCCTCGACATTATCAACTATATCACAAGTTATGTCGCCAGCTTCACCATCCGATTCCCAAATGCAAACCCTCGGGAAAGCCCCATCGGCCGCCTCGCCGGAAAACCTTCTCTTCACACCACCGTCCTCAGCCACCACATCCTCACCCTCCTCCCCCACCACCATCAATGGCGTGGATAATTTCTGAGTAAAGCTCCCTTTCAAACCCTCATCACTTTCATTACCAGCACCATTCTTCCCATTGTGAGCAGGGTAAAAAGTCCCATTCAGAATCTGGTTCTGGCTATTGTTCTTACCGGAATTGTGAGACCAGCAGCCGATATAGCAGCTCCCGTCCGGCCAGGTGAAAACCCCATGTCCTTTCGGAATGCCATTTTCCCAATTCCCGTCATATCTATTCCCATTGTTCCAGACCAAAATTCCTCTGCCATGGATCATCCCATTTTTCCATTCCCCAATATACTCATTCCCATTCCTCCATAGATACCGGCCTTGCCCGTCTTGCATATTCCTCTTCCAGTGCCCTTCGTAGTAATCCCCATTGCTGTAGTGCTTGACCCCGTAGCCGTGCTTCTGATCCCCAGCCCACGAACCTCTGTACATTTCACCGTCCGGCCCGATGAAGGTGCCGGAGCCCTCCATCCGGCCCGACCTGAACTCGCCCTCGAAGGTGGCTCCCGACGGCCATGAGAATTTCCCCTTCCCGCACGCTTTCCCCTTCTTCCAATCACCCTCGTACATACACCCGTCCCTCCACAGGTACTTCCCGGATCCGTGGGGCGCGTCGTTGTGGAAGGCCCCGATGTACAGGTCCCCGTTGCGGAGGCGCTTCTCGACGGCCCCATTGTCGCCGCCGACGTCTCCTTCGGTGATGGAGGCAGGCGCCACGCGCCGGCAGGAGGCCTGGGATTTGCTGAAGGGGACGATTTTGACTGGTCTAGGTGTGGTGGCTGTGGCTGTGGCTGTGTTCTCCGGCACCTTCTCATTTTCACTGTCCAAAATCTCTTCATTACTTTTCTTCCTCTCGTTGTCAGCCGGCTTCAAAAGCACCACTGTCTCCGGCATTTTTTCCCCTTTTCTTATTCTGCCGGAAACTGAAAAATCGCAAAATTCGATTTATGCCGACGAAAAATCTAGCTGGTCTTCACAGACTCAAACTCCCGCCGGAAATCGACGGAAAACAGCACCGGAATCCAGCTCAATGAGCATTTTTCCGTCAAACTGCCATCTGCAGAACACAAGCGGAAAAATGAGTTTCCAAATATTTTTTTTTTTCGGTGGATTTGAAAGCAAAACAGTAAGATAAGGGTTGAAATGAAAGAACAAAGGAACTGAGAAATAACAGGATTGGAATTTTATAGATAGAGAGAATCGAGTGCGTGGGGTGTGTGTGAGAGAGAAACTTTGCATTTGCTTGCATTTGCAGACATATGTAATTTTGTACTGTGAACGTTTTAGGTGGTGTTGATAAAAATGGTGTAAACCTATACATACACAATATACACTGAATCTGTCTCTCTACTTATTTGTTGTATGATTTTGTTTGTATATGGGAAGCACAATTTATTGATATACCCTCCATTGTAGAGAGAAAAATTAACGGCCTACCATTATATATTTTAAATAAAAATATATTCTTTATATTGTAAAATATTATATATTTTTAAATTACAATATTTCAGTTTGAAAATATTCACATTAGTTAAAAAATATGAATGTTTGAAATATGATTTGTACTATGATTTGTTTGTTTTTACATTATAATAATTCAATTTAAAAATATACATGACGATTTGGATTCTTCACACCTTTAATTTAAATAATATTTTTCAGTTAAAGGCAGCTTATTTGTCCCAATTTATGGAAATGAATGATAATGTTAATTTTCCCTTTTTTATTTATAGTTTTATTGCATATCCCAATTTGGTAGATAATATAAAAATCTTCTTAATCAGCTCTGATTTTAATTACCCTCTATAAAGATCCCATTTAATTCTTGGTTAATTGCATGATTAAAATCAGTACCTACTTTAGAGGACCGAATTATTAGAATGGATATAGTTTTTATTATTTTAAATATTTCTTGGTCCAACGACCTACGTTATGGTTTGGTGAACTATATATTATACAAGATAATAAATATTATAATTAGGATTCACAACTAAGGAAGTGCCACATGGGATCATAATTTGTCGGCTTAAGAATATTATATAGTTAATTTCCCCCCTAAAATGCTGGCAAAATTATTTGAGACGTGGCTACAACTTATGGTACAATACTTAGGTGTACAGTTTTTAACAAACACTTATTAATTTGTATGATTCAGTCTAACGGTGTTAGACGGTCGGCTTGTCATAATTTTTAATAAAATATATACTCATTTGATAAATGTCATATTTTTATATTTGCTGTTATTTGAATTTTATCACTGGTGTACAGAGTAAATACATAACCATTTTAGACTTGCATAATAATAGTATTATTACAGTTGGTTTAGACTTTGGGGTACTAAATAAATTACACCACTTTAAGAATTTTCTAGAATGTTAAGAGGGGAAAAAAATTAATGATGTTTTCCTACTCTTTTTTCTATTTAATAAAAAATGACCGTTACTTTTTTATTAATTAAGTGCAATAATATTTTTCGATTTTCTTATCACATAATCATTACTACTGATATCAATTAATTATAAACTCACACTAAAAGTACGCAAACTATACACTTATAAAAATTTTATAGCAATTTTTTTTCTTCAATTTTTTAAAAATTATTATCATCATTTTATTTGTATATCATTAAAATAAATTTAATAATTAATTAGTTTAACGAAATTGCAAACCCCTTAAAATTGCAACAACAACAACAACAATAAAAATATAAAATAAAGAATAATAATAATATTTTTTTTCAACTACTAATTAGTTTGAATCTCTTAAATTTGTGAAAAATACATTATTCAGTATATTACCTTGCCATTTTATGGTGATTCATATATAAGTAAAATAATTTATTATTATATTGTTTATTTTTACTAATGATTAAATTTATAAAATATGATATGCATATTATATAACTTACAATTACAAATATAATATCTATATTTACAAATTATAATATTTTATTTTTATATCTATATGAGTATGAATGCATAGATGGCATACTTTATTTCTTTTTATTAACTAATTGATTAATTAGTTACTTGATTAATTAGTTAAGTTAGGAAAAGTCAGAATTAAATTAATTGTGTATTGATGCGACGTGGCCACAAAATCGCAATAAAAGTAGTGATATCCATCAATTGTATCAATTGCCTAACAAAGCAGCATTAATTCGTCCCACACGGTTAATTGAATGTGTTCAGTAAAATACTAGTATAATTGAAATCCAGTGAGTAATTAAGAATCTACATATAAAATCAAAAGGAAATGCTATATTAATTTCATGGTCATAATCTTAGTTCGGTTTTACACCAGTTTGATTATTCAATATACTAGTACGTGGCCCGTCCAATGCACGGAAAAATAATATTATGATTGTATTATAAATTAAATATATACATAATATTAATCATGATTTACTCATTGTTTTTAAAATTGGACCAGACCGGACAATACTCTGACCGGATGGATAGAGAATTGGTTTATCGACCAGTCCGGTTCGCTTGAATAAAATGTTTGCTAGCAAACCGGTCAACACCAGTCCATCGAAAATATCGATATTTTTTAAATAAATTCTGTTACATTTAAAATTATTTTTAATATAAATGAAAATACATATTTAAATAAAATGTAGATTTATAAATCATTTATCATTTAGTTTAAACATTGAAAACTTTTAAATTATTTAGAAATTTAATTAAAATTTTGTATATATATTGAAACATTGAAAACTTAGTTACCTCCCATGAAAAGAAACATAATTTTCTTCTCATATTTATGATATATGAACATATTGAAACATGTTTATCTTCATAAAAATGAGATTTTTATGCATACACGTTTCATATGTTTGGGAATCTTAAGATCGTTTAGATTCTCTTAAAAAAATCTATCTATATTTGCATTTTTAAACTCTTTTTGGATTAAAAGTAATGGCGCCATTTGACATATTTGTAATTTTACAGATTAATCACAATTTCGCCATTATGATTCTTTTGTTTTGTTATGTTTTTATTATAGTTATAAAAGTTTCTTAATTACATGATTTTTATTATGATTTTAATCATGATCTTATGGGATTTTTTTAACTAAATCGATGTTATGGGATAAAACAAATCTATACTTACCTTTGACTTTTTCAGCAAAGGTAAAAAAATTGATTTTGATTTTTATCCCATAACAAATATTTAATGTCAAGCCTATAAGTACCAAAACAAATCTGTAATTTAATGTCATTCTATTTTCAGCAAGCATTAATTAACTTTGACTTTTCTGCTTACTATTTCTAGTAAATAAGATGTATTTTTATAGAAGTAATAGATTGCATGAAGTTACATCTCTTGTTTTACTACTATTTACTACACGTGTTAGTTTTTACAAGGACGTAATTAATAGGAGCAGTGTGTAAATAATCCCGATTGTCCGGAATTCAATTTTGTTGTTGATTGAATATTCTCAATCGCTATTCACCGCCCCCCTTTTACTAGTCACCGCCCCCCCCATTTACTCTTTTGCCCTTAACCCTTTTTT